TTCTTGCATCAGTCAAGATAGAATGAACTTTACAAAGCAGGTGGATCTGAGCAACAGAAGGGTGAGTGGTGTGGATGTTGCTGGCAACCTGCAGAACAATTGCTGTGTGTTGGTGGGTAACTCAGAGCTGCTGTGCTTGCCCTGGGGGCTATGAGCCACCTCTCCACCCCCTGCTCCCATGGATGACTGGACAAAACCCTGGTCTCATGTGGGATCTGTGGGGCAGCTTGTCCTGCAGAGCATCCCTGAGCGGGGAGGGCAGGGAGATGAAAGCTGGCCCTGCTGAGCCCACACCTGCTCAGCTTCTGCTTCTGCTCCTGCCCTGCTCCAGCCTACTGTTTTTCTGAGAGAACTGCCCCAGTAAGTTAGTGAAGAGGTGGCTCCTCAGGCTCTGCCTCGAAGGACCCTGATGCACAATGGTTATGTAAAACCAATATCAATGTTGAGCCTTAGGGTATTTGAAATACACCTCAATAAAGTCATTACATTTAAAAAATACTTGTTATTTACAGTAACTCAAAGGTGTTTTGTTTTAATTGTTTTCAAAAGCCTACCTCACCAGAGTAACACATTCCTGTAAATCCTTGTTTAGCTTTAATCTCTTAAATTGAAAATCGTAGTAAGCATCTGTAACTTAGAGGGAAAAAGTCTGTTCTTTCCCCACCCACCCCCTAACTCATTCTTTTTAAAACACTCAGTGGCAGTGAGTGGTCTCTATCCCCGTAAGTACAGAGTTAACCTGGGTGACCCCAGACATCAGGGCAGTCTCCTGCATTAAGGCAGTTTGAGACCTGCAAATTCTTTCATGCTGTTGGCCCAGTGAAATCCAGACCCACAAAACACGCACGTGTTCAATGGTTGTGTAATCCAACCTTTATTGTAAAAGGAAAACATAAAAAATATAGTGGAAATGACGTACAAGATGATCACTAAGCACATCAGTGAGCCACAGGTACTGGAGAGAAGGGCATGTCTACGCCCTGGCTGCCCGGGCACCACGTCCACCACTGCTTGGAATGGGAAGGAATGCCTCATGCTGCAGTTGGGCTTTTAACTGTTCTGGGAGACAAAAGAAAAACCCCCAAAATTTCCTTTTATTTAAGAGACACACGAAGCAGGTTCCAAGATTCTCTTCTCTGTCCAACCCTAGAGGGGGGTTGATCTCCAATCCTGGTCGGAGTCTGGAGTGGATGGACCTCCATGTGTCATGGTGCTTGCTGGTGATGCCCTGTCCCTGTCCTTCAGAACAGGGGGTGGCTTTAGAGGGTTGGGTGTGGAAGGCCATGAAGTTTCTCAGTTCAGAGCCGGAGCTGTGAGGGGAGAGGCATCCTCGGGCTCAGGAGGGAGGCAGGCTCTTGGTGCTGCCACACTGCTCTTGGTCTGGCAGTTCCTCTTCCTTCTGCTCCAAATCAATGTTCTGTGGACAAGGTTTCGGGTGAGGCCTGGCCCTATGCTTGCCCGCCTGCGGCGATACATCCACGGCGGTGCATGTGCCAGCAGGTGCTGCCTGCAAGAGCCACTCTGTTGGCTTATGCTCCGTACCCTCTGAAAAGAAGCCTTTTTGGGATCCCCCCTAACACTGGGGCCTGACCTACCTCAAGCTCCTGCAAAACCTCATCCATGAAGTCCTGGGAATTCTGCTTGTAGGACACAGCTAATCGAATTGCGTCATTGAAGAGCTGGGGAGGAAGGAAAACATGGCCATGGGTGCCAGTGACCTGGGCTCTGCCTGCCTTGGACCCACTGGCCAGGTTTTAAGTCCATACAACACTTAAGTCCAATATCAGCAAAGTCACCCCTTAATTTCCTTTCTTCCCATCAGCCTGACTCCACCCATGGGCCTATCAGCTCCCCTCTGTCAATGCCACAGGGACCCCTACCTGTCAGCCCCAGTGCCCACCCCCTCTGCCAGCCCTTCTCTTGTGGTTTCCCTGTCCTTCACCACCTGGCTGTCTGACCTCTACAGACCAGTATTACCTTCACCACGTTGGTGCCATCAGCAGCTGAGACAAAGTACAGGGGTAGGGAGAACTTCCTGGCAAAATTGAAGCTTTTTTGGGTCACCTTTATGTCAGCTGTAGAGAGAAGGTAGGAGACAGGCCTGTCCATCCAGGGAAAGAGAGAGGGGTTTGCAGGGTGGGTCACCGGCAGTCCCATTCCAGAAAGTGGGATCTTTACTGGGAAGGGAGTGAGGGCCTCCAACCAATGGCTGTGTCTTAGGGAGGATGAATCATTGAAGACTCATGGTCCTGGAAAACTGGAAGAAACCTGTGGTGGGTCCCCGTGAATTGCTGACCCCAGACCCAGAGGTGGCCCTACCATCGATTTTATTGGCCACCACGACACACGGGATCTCTGGCCTGAACTCCCGAAGCTCCGCGTACCAGGTGCCCAGGTTCTTATACGTGACCTTCCTCTGCACATCGAACACCTGCAATAAGCAGAGAAGTAGCTCGGGTGTGTCAACGTCTCCATATGCCACCCAGGCCCCTCGCCCACACGGGCAGGGAGCTTGGTGCACATCACAGGCTTGGGAACTGGGACTGGGCCCCTGCTGAGCTGCAGTCTCTCTGACCAGAGGCTGCACCTGTGCCCACCCTTCTCCAGAAAGCCCCCAGAATCAAAATGGTTTTAAAAATCTTTTTTTCCATCTTGTCACCTAATTTATTTATCTATTTTAACCATGTTGTATCATCTTACTAATCAATAGTTTGTAAAAAACTGTAAACTTTTTCCTTAGTCTATTATTTTTATTGCTGAAACTGTTTTAAAATTCCTTTGTAATAATGTAAAGTGTTTCCAGAAGTTCACTTTAGATACTATTATTTACTTTAAACTCTAAGCCTTTAACCTTCTGTTCACTTTGTATTGCAAACTTTTAAAAGTTAATTTTTACATTTTATTATTTTGTAGCTTTTAATTTTATTAACTTTTTGAAACTTGTAGTTTTTACCTACTTTAAAATACCAGCAGGAAGTGTGAGCACCTCAGATTTGCCCTAATGCCTCGAGTTGCTGTGCAGGGACCCTCAAGCCCCTCGGAGGCCAGCCTCCTGCTTCCAAGCTGTCTGTCCTCTGGAATAAACTGACTACCCTAAACCACCCCACACAACAGGGGATGTGACGACAAGCCTGTCTCCTACTGGAATGGCTGCTATGACTTCTCGATGCCCCAGCCTTTCGTGGAGTGACATGGACCAGGACCAGGCCTTGCATGCACGCGGCAGGTGCAGATCAGCAGCTGTCACATCCAAGACAGCAGGAGGTCCACCTGGGAGGTTCATCCACGGTTCTCCCAGGACCAATGCCAACAAGTGACCAGGTTGTCTTGAAATCCCAATAGACTTCTTGTAAAGCATTCTTGTGACAAAACTCCTGCTTCATACTAGGCTGCCTCCCGTGATCACCATCCAATAGTCACCTTTTCCCAGGTCTTATTTCTGGAGTTTCCTCTCCTCATTGTGGGAGCCAAGGAGCTGGCTGGATGAGGAGCCCTCCTGTCAGAGGTTCAAGGTGAGGGTGGAACCCCAGCTCCCTCTGGGACTATGGGAACCCCTTGTGGTCATCAGAGATAGGTGCTTTCTAACTGCCAGGCCATGCAGCAGGAGGGACTGCACGCCAAGCCTCAGAAGAGGGTCCAAGAGGAGCCATGGAGGTGTGTCAGAGGCCAGAGGAGGTCACTCCCAGAGAGAAAAGAGAAGTGAGCTCTGAGCACCAAGGGCCAGGGCTGAACTAAGGCAGAGAGGCTGGGACCCACCTTCCCAGCTCTCCAGGGTCATGTGTGACTCCTGGCATGATATTGCCCTCACTGCCTCACCTTGCCACCCTCTTCTGTCCCCCTGCAGACATTAGCTAAAATTCTGGAAAATTTCAAAGGCTTTTGTACTTAAGGGAGAGTAGGGCCAGAGAGTTCATGGGCAGGTCCTGAAGGACAGTGGCTGACAGGCTGACACAAATCTCTCATGTCCTGGCTCTTCCCAGTGCTGTTTCCTGTCCTGCTGTGACACTATGACCCCAGCCTGGGCTGCAGGGGGCACCTCAGGATACTGTTCTAGACAGCGAGACGAAGGCTGGGAGGGAGAGGAAGGGGCTGGTTTGGGAGGGAAAGCCCCCTGAGAACTGCTTTCCTTCCCCAGCGTCTGTCCTTAGTGAGCACCACCAGGGATGGTCATGGGAGACCTCAGGAGCCCCCTCAGTATTGCTGGGCCCCTTGCCCCTCCCCCCAGGCTAGAATTGCCCAGTCTTCGCCCACCTCCCAGCAGGTCTCATACCATAATGCAGGCGTGGGCCTTGTGGTAGTAGGAGGCATGCATACTCTGGAACCGCTCCTGGCCCGCCGTGTCCCAAAAGTCTGCAATATGAACACAGCTCTGACTGCCTGACAGGCTGGAGGGCAGGGACCCTGAGCATCTCCACGCAGGTGTCTGCGCGGAAGCATGGGGGACATGGAGTCCACCCAGCGTGCTGTCAGGACCCAGGGAGCCTGGCTGAGCTGAGAGGCCTGTGCACACCTGTGTGCGTGTGGGTGGATGAGAGGAGGCACAGGGCCAGGAGGATGGAGAATGCAGACAGGAAGCCCCAAGGAGAAGCTCCCACCGCCCCCCCCCCATGTCCCCCTGTGTGGTGACTGCAGATGGTGAACACGGTTAGGCAGGATGTTGGGCCTGGCCAAGGGGAAGGTTGTCACCTCACGGTAAGTCAGAGCCCTTTGTGGAAGAGAATTTTCAGACCATGTTTGTTATGTCTGGATGCTGGCTCCATCAGAACAGGAGGTCAGAGCACTGGAAATGAGCCCCTGATCTTCCTCCCCTCGCAGGCCTCCAGGCTCTCAGCAGGTGGCCTTCCTGCCACCCCTCGCCTGCATCCCTGCTGGGGTCTTATTTCCTCCCACTGGATTCTCTCCCTCAGACCTTGTCTCCCTCCCACCCCCCACCCCCTGCCTGAGAGTTGGAGTAATTGTGTTGCTCACCCACAAGAATGGTCTTGCCATCCACAGTAGCTGTGTGCTTATACAGGGTCAGGGCGTACGTGGATAGTTGCTGGGGCTGACTGTGGTCAGGTTAAGGAGCAAAGGTGAACAAAAAGGGGAGAGGTTGGTGTGACAGAATGGGCTCTTTCTCTCCTTTTCTTTCTGGCATTATTTCGATTTTAAATGGAATGAATCAGCCTCAGGTATCTCTGGCACCAGCTCCATGGGCGAGGACGAGTGGGAGAGCCTGGCAGCGTGTCCTGACCACCTGGGTCCGAGGGGACCCCTGGAACGGAATTTTACAGATAGGCTGTCATAAGCAGCGTCATGTGTTACTTTAGCAATATGACCGTTACAGGGAAGAAAGCTACCACAAGCCAGACAGCTGACCAGCTGTGAACTGTAGTTGGCCTGTGTGTGAAACCCCAACAGGACCCCTGGGGGTAACCCTTCCTGAAGCAGCAAGACGTCGGCAGTAACCCCTGGGACGCAGGACATGCAGGTGGGTGGGTGTAAGGGAGACCTGATGGAAGGTGAGGCAAGAAACGCCCCAACTCCCTGGGGGCTCCGGCCTCTTCTCACCCACAGTTCCCAGTGAGTTCACCTGGGAAGCTTTGTAAACTATCCTGGTTGCCAGGCAGGTCTCACTCCCAACCTGCAGCACGAACGATTCATGGGGAGAGGGTGGGGCTGGCAGCTCATATTTCATAGAGCTCATTCACACCAGAGAATTATTAAATATCAGGAGCCCAAGCTTTGAGGTGAGATAGGTAAAGGGATCTGCACAGGGATCCAGGCCTTTGGCAGGCACTATTAGCCACTCTACCGCCCTCCTAATATATAGCAAATCCAAATATGAGTAAGGCCCAAAATATGCAGCATTTCAAACCTTGAAGGATACAATCCATCCATGAGAAATCTCTCCATGAGTCTGTAAGGAGAACGTGCATGATGGTCAGGCACGTCCCCCCAGGGGCCACCAGCTGAAGTCACCTGTGGCCCCTCCCACTCGAGCCTCAGCCACACAGGTTCCCTTTAAGGATGATGCCCAGGACCTCCCTCTTCCTGACTCCCCTGAAGTTCCCAGCACACACAGCTGCTCTGCCCACGGGCAGGCACCACAGCAGCTAATCAGCAACGCTAGTTGAAGAAGTAAAGACCCGTCACCTGAGCTCTGCGCTATGTCTATGCTGGAGATCTGTGTGGACCATAGTAAACTCAACAGATCTTAAACTGAACTTGTGTAACCAACTAAATCTGATCCGGCCGAGGGACCTAGTTAGTGCCATCCCTCCTTCTTCACGCCTGGAACCTGGGACTTACGTGACTAACCTCCATGACCTAACAGCTCACACTGCTGTGTGCACCAGTCCTGTGAGGCTCGGAGATCCACTATCTCCACCTCTGCACTGTGGACACCGCAGTCACCACTGCATTATAAATGGGAAGCTTGAGGCCAGGAAGGCTGTACCCCTAGCCTGAAATCTGTTTTCCCCACAATCTGCAGGTCTTCCAGGCAAGTTCTATCTCACCTTGCAGTGCCTCGCTGCCCCGCAGGTAGCACCAATGGAAACATACATATTTTACTTATGATATCTCTCAGATAGAGTGGAATGCACATGGAAGCGATTTTTGAATTTTTAGTTTATTTCTGCATCCCCAGGGCCTAGGTAAAAAAACGTCTAGACTATAACCACCTTCCAAACACCATGGCATATTGCAGCCATGCCCTCACCCCCACAAGCAAAGGCTGAGTGAGGAGCCGAGCAGACTTCCATGCTTTTGAGACTGTAACTAGTGTCCAACAAGGCCGGGTAGGGAGTGGACTTCTTCCCTGCAGAGGGTAACGAGGTTCCCTCCCCGCACAGTGTCAGCTGAGACCCCACAGTCAGAGGCGGTGGGTGGGGGTGGTGCAGCCCCTCCTCCTTCCCCAGTGAAGAGCACCACAGGAAGCCAACTCAGACAGAAGTTTAAATAACACAATATTCAAAATGTCCCAGTTTCAGCAGAAAATCATTCATCATACCAAGAACCAGGAAACTCTCCAACAGAATGCAAAATGACGATCAGCAGACACCAACACTATGACAAGCCAGATGTTGCAATCATCTGACAAGGCTGATAAAGCAGCTTCATAAAAATGCACCACTGAGCAAGTGCAGATGTGCTTGAAGTAAATGAAAAATATAGCAAGTCTCAACAATGGACTACTTTTCAGCACAGAAATAGAAGATATAAATAAGGACCCAACACTAGGAAGAATTAACGCCATTAAAAAGTCCATACTTCCCAAAGCAATCTATAATGTCAATGCAATTCCTATGAAAAGACCAATGGCGCATTTCACAAAATTAGGACAAATAATCCTAAGTTTATATGGAACCACAAAAGACCCTGAATAGCCACAGCAATCTTGGGAAAGAAGAACAAAGTTGGTGGAATCATGCTACCTGATATAAAACTATACTACAAGGCCATAGTAATCAAAACAGTATACTAGTGACATAAAAACAGACAAACAGATCAATGTAACAGAATAGAGAGCCCAGAAATAAACCCACACCTTTATGGTCAATTAATAATTGACAAAGGAAGCAAAAACATTCAATGGGCTAAAAACAGCCTGTTCAATAAATGCTGTTGGGAAAACTGCATAGATAACATGCCAAAAAAAAAAAAAAAAAAAGAAAGAAAGAAACTAGATCACCTTCTTATATTGACTTTTGTTTTTGGATATGTCTCCTTGGGCAACAAAAGAAAAAATAAACAAATGGGATCACATCAGACTAAATGAGAGCTGCACTGGGTGCTGTGGGCATGAATTCATGAAGACAGCCTGAAACCAGCAAATCCCCAGAGACTCATTCACAGCTACTCAAGTCCAAGGCCTTGTTAGTCAAAGATAAAGGTGGACAACAATGTGGTTCTGGGGCACCTGGGAGGGAAGATTACACAAGACATTTGTTTGGGGCAGGTCCACCCTCATTCTGTGAAGGCAGAAATGGATGTGTGCCCTCGCTAGCCCAAGACAGGTGAGAACTAGGATCACAGCTCCTGGAGAGAAGGTGCCAGAGCCTCTGTTCCAATCTTGTGCACATAGGTACTGACATCAGTTAAAAAATAAGCCAAAGTTGCCCTAGCCAGTTTGGCTCAGTGGATAGAGCATCAGCCTGCAGACTGCAGGATTCCAGGTTCAATTCTAGTCAAGGGCACATGATGGGGTTTTGGGCTCAATCCTCAGTAGAGGGCGTGCAGGAGGCAGCCCATCAATGATTCTCTCTCATCATTGATGTTTCTCTCTTTCTCCCTCTCTCTCTCTCTCTCTCTCTCTCTCTCTCTCTCTCTCTCTTTTAAAATTTATTTTTAAAAAATTAAGCCAATCTTTACGTTGAGCATGCTTAGTTGTCATTTCTACCCACTCTTTGAGCTCAGTGAGTCCCTCGGAGAAAGCATTTTTACTACCTTTACCCAGTCTGTCACTGGTTGTGCTAGTCACATCTGTCACACTTCCTCCAACTTTAGTCTCTCAGTCCACAACCACATACAGGAACACCCCAGTTCTCCCTCCTCAGTCTGGACTGCTCCAGTGATCTCTAGGGTGACCTGCTCCACAGTCTGCCAGTACTCATGGAAAAAGCTCAACTTCCTTAGTCCTATGACTTGAGCCCCCACAGATGCTGATGTGATCCCCCAGTCTCCCCATTTCCCCAGTGCACACCTGGGCTCCAGACAAACTACTCTCATGACTTCCACAGAAGCCGTGCTCCACTGTGCCTCCAGAGAACTCTCCTGAGAGCTTAGACCCACCCTGGGCCCTGCCTTTCTTCCCCAATTTCCCAACATACTTGGACTTGCCCACAGCGCTGTCCCCCAGGCAGATGATCTTCACGTTGTCATCAGCATCATATTTCTCTTGGTCCACCTCACAGGGGTTGGCTTTGTCCCTGGCCATTGGCCCCTGGCTCAGCTCAGGGGAGGGGGCTCCTATCTGTATGGACAGCGGAGAGAAGGAGCGGATGAGAGGGGCCCAAGGACACAGGTACACCTTCTCTATTCACCACCTGGCCCACACCCGCTGGAATCAGCGGG